GGCGCGCAGCCCGCTGCACCTGGGCTTTCTCTGCGAGTACGACGCGCTGCCCGGCCTCAGGCACGCCTGCGGCCACAACCTCATCGCCGAGGTCGGGGCGGCTGCGGCGCTGGGCGTGAAGGGGGCTCTGGAGGACCTCCCCGGGCCGCCTCCGCCGGTGAAGGTGAGGTGGGGCCCGGGCGCGGGACTCCCGTCACCTGCCCCGGCCGGTACCGAGCCGGGAATGGCCGGGCCCGGCGCCTCCCGCGCGCACCTGTGTCCTCCCGCCCCGGGGTCGGTGTAGGGACGGCGCGAGACGTCCCAGCCTGGTCCCGGTCCGAGGCAGAACCGCTGGATAAAACTTCATGAGTTGCCGACCTAGCGACACTTTGCAGATTTGGGGGGTTTGTTTCCTCTTACGTAGTTGTAAAGAGTTGAGTGGATTTCCCCGTACGAAAGAACTTAGCCCCAAGCCTGCTTTTCGTTATGGCTTATTTTTTGTAACAGTAGCCACCTCAATTTGCTGACAAGGTCGCGGCATCTCTGAAGGAAGTGGGTATTGTAGGGAAACCTACAGCCCCTCTTCATTAGCCCCCCCCCCCAGTCTTTTGTTTGTGGCAGTCATAGGAGCTGTTGTGATTTGAGTCACTGGTGTTTGGTTAGGGTATTATCAGTCGTAGAAGTATACAAAAAATTGGGAAGCGAATGAACATTTACTGCATAGATGTAGTTGATCTTGGAGTCTAAATGTTTATTTCATGGTTTTAAAGTAAAATATCTGAGTTCCTCAGTCGGGGAAATGTCGTTTATGTTTGTCATAGGGCAAGTTTAATCTGGTGTACTCTCTTTTTCCAGATGGTATATTCTTCATTCTGTGAGCTAAGATGCAGTCTTCACCATTCAGGTTAAGGGGAAAACAAATGTTTTCGTCTTTAGTCCTTTTTTTCCAATGTCAGTAACCTTTTACTTTTACTCTAACAGTTTCATCATTTGTGACTTTTTCTGTTTACCTGCCTTTTCTTTTCTGCCCCTGAGGGCTTGTTTTTGCATCTGACTAGGTTTTTGTTTTGTATTGCGTGGGGCATCCTTTGCCATTGCATGCAACACTGGAGAGTTAGCTTTAACCAGGTTTATGAAAAGTTCATAGAAGTCAGCAATATGTAACTTGAGAAGTCATCAGATTTAACTAGTCAAGGGTTAAGAGTTTAAAGCAGCTTAATTTAAGAGTTTGGGTGCTTTACAACTTCTAAAGAAAGCTAGACTTTGGGAAATGTATACACTTCTGATTTTGAATAGTAAGCTGAATTTTTTAGCAAGGTTATCTGTCCTACCTGAAAATGAAATTTATGTCAATTCCCTTTGCAAGCCAAGACTTTTTCCAACTTGTTCCATTGTGTTCTTATACATGATCTTGAAAGTATATTAGTTGTTTATAGATAATTTTTCTTTGCTTTAAAAATTGTTTGAAGAAGTTAAACTGAAATATCAAAGTAAAATGTTTATTCTGCAAAGTTCTTTTTTGTTTAATTAGGTGTTTGGTGACCAATAAATCTGCCTGGTTGAACTGGTGGAATCGAATTAGTAAGTTTGTGTAATAGTTGGCCGTTTCTAACCATGGTCTTAAGATTTGTTTAATGCTCTTCATAAAGGATTAATGAATTAAGATCTTTTAATGAGGTAGCTCAGTAAGGAACAGGCCTGAATATTTAATCCCAGCTCTTCCTGAAGACTTGCTCTGTGACCTAGGGCAAAACAACCCTCCCTAAAATGATGTTATAGATCGATCACTTGCCTCACAAGGTTGTTGTGAGAAGAACTAATAAGTACTGGAAAGTTCCTTACAAGTAAAGTGCTTATGAATAGTTAAGTACCTATACCAAAAGACTTAGTCAAGAAGATGCTGTAAGAAATGATGCCCTAGCTGGTTTGGCTGAGTGGTTAGAGCATCAGCCTTTGAACTGAAGGGTCCTGGGTTTGAGTTTGACCAAGGGCAGTATCTCATTCGCAGGATTGATCCCCAAGCCCCAGTTGGGGTGCCCGGGCAAGTGCAGGAGGCAACCAATTGATGTGTCTCTCTCAAATTAGAGTTGATTTCTCTCACTCCCTACCTTCCTCTCTCTCTGAAAAGCAATGCAAAAAAATATCCTCGGGTGAGGATTTAAAAAAAAAGAGAAAGACAATGAGAGGGAGGGAGGGAGGAAGGGAGGAAGGGAGGAGTCAAGGAAGGGAGGAAGGAAGGAGTCTTAGGCCCTGGCCAGGTAGATCAGCGGGTTTGTTCTCCGGTCAGGGCACATACAAGAATCAACGAATGAATACATAAATAAGTGGAACACCAAATCTATATTTCTCTCTCCCTCTCTCTCTAAAATCAATCAATAAATAAAAGATTTTAAAGAAAGGAGTCTTAAAGAATTTTAAGGAACTTATATATAGTATTTATCTTTTCCATCTTTGCCACTAGTTATATAAAATTGAGTTGTAAAATTAGGAAAAGTTTTCTGTGCTAGCTTTAGTACATACTTTACACCAAATTGGTGTAATAATGTAAATTAAAACGGGTGATTAGCATCATAGATTTATGCCCACTGCATTATTAAGTGTCAGAGAACAAAACATCTCTCCATAGTTTAAGCATTTTAATGTACATTGTGGATATGTATGCAAGAGAACTTGTTTGAAGGTTTCCTACTAGGATTTTTTGTTATTTTGTTTTGACAGAGGTATTTCCTTCTAGGTGATTGTCCTGGGAACTCCTGCAGAAGAAGATGGTGGTGGCAAAATTGATTTAATTGAAGCAGGGGCTTTTAAAAATCTTGATGTTGTTTTTATGGCCCATCCATCCCAAGAGAATGCTGCTTATCTCCCTGATGTGGCTGAGCATGAGTAAGTAATCAAGTTGAAATAAACTTCTTGGTGGAAAACAGACTATTAGAATACTTTCATGTTTTTTCTTAAAGAAGAACAGAAATGTATTGTCTTATAGTTCGGGAGACATGAAGTCTGAAATCAGGTGACAGGGCCAAGGTCCCTCTGAAACCTATAGGGGAGGATTCTTCCTGCCTCTTCCAGCTTCTGGTAGCACCAGACATTTCCCTGGCTTATGGCAGCCTAATTCTCATCTCTGCCTCTGTCTTCACATGGCTCTCTCTGTCTCTCCACATTGCCTTTCCTTTATGTCTCTAGAATATTTTCATGTCTTAACTGGAAACTGAAACTCCGTATTTATACATTTAAAAAGTAAATTGAAAGATAATGATGCCTTACTTGGTTTCCATTGAATCATATTTGGTAAGCCTCTTCTAATTGAGATTTAATACGGTGTTCATAATTGGACTATTAAGTAGTGCCTAAAAAGCGTAAGAATAGCAAACAGAATATGTTGACACATGTTCTCTTTTTAACCGTCTGACTTCTTAGATTTTTTCACTGGCCATCTTTTCAGATGGAAAAGAGAACAGGAACAAAAATTAAAATTTAAAGAATTACTAATGTGTTCATCCTAAATATCTCTAACAATAAACAAGATAAAGCACTATGTCCCTACTGATCACCTTTCCCACATCTAGTCCCTTCTGTAGAGGTATGTATTCTTCCAAGACTTTTGGTTATATTTATAGACGTAAGTAGGTACATGTAGAAATTAAATTTTAGCCCAAGTGGCGTCGCTCAACGGTTGAGCGTCCACCTGTGATCCAGAAGATTGAGGTTTGATTCCTGGTCAGGGCACATGCCGGAGTTGCGGGCTCCACTCCCGGTGGGGGATGTGCAGGAGGCAGCCGATCAATGACTCTCATCATTGATGTTTCTATCTCCCTCTCTCTGAAATCAATAAAGACATATTAAAAAAAAGAAATTACATTTTAAAGGAGGATTTCTACCCTGAAGTACTGTGCTACTCATCATCAGTTATAGTTGGTTATTCAGGATGGTTTTGCTGTATTTTATCTGTAATTCCAGTTTGTTCCTGGGAGAATGTCAGTGTAGCTTCCACTCAATCCACCACATCTTGGGTCTCCTGCTTTTTGCTTTTTAAAATTAAGCAATATGTCCCATACCTACCTGGCAGCAGAGATACCATGATCATAAAATTAAACAACATGTCTTGAAAATCATTCCATATCATTTTGTTTAAAGTCTAAAATACTAATGCTGATACAAAACAACCACTGACACTTATTTTCTTGTAGTTCATTGTACTTTAATTGTACATAGATCTGAACTGTAGAAGTGGTGCTAGAGTTTTCATAAAGGACATACTTTTCCATTCTATAAATTTATCACAGTTTCGGTAAAATTCCAGTTTCAGGTTGATGGTGATGAGATATATATATATATATATATATATAAAATAAATATTGTAAAATCTTAAAAATATACTTGGTTGCTTTTATTTATTTTTGTTTTGCTAACAAAATGTTTGAAATCAGTCAGGAAATATCATGAGCATTTCTTACACTCCTGAATCTAGCCCATTTTAAAAAAAGTTGAGTGGCTTTTTTATAATTTTGTAATTTAAATTTAATCAGTTGGGTTTTAAAATATTTTATAAACAAGTCATCTTTATAAATAACTAATATGCAATCCTTTCTCTAAACCTTTTTTTTTTTTTTAATTGTATCTGTGTAGTTAGACTGGTATGAGAAATATTTGAAGTGGAATAACAATTTTTAAAATTTTAAGATATCAGTGATACAGGTATTTTGGAACATTAATAAAATATTGGTCAGGAACAACTGACTTGATCCTAGAGTATTTTATCATGCGAGTATAATCTGATTTTTAGAGGTTGCCCTAACCCATTTCAAATGTCACCTTTCTCTTTCCTTGACCTTCCCCCACCCCGAACACAGAATTATCTGAGTTTTTGCAGACCTTTGGTATAGAACTATCACAGTGAAGTGTAGAAAGAGACAGGAGCCATCTTTTTTTGTAATTCTAGCACCTAATACAATATTACATACTTGTTTGAATTGAATTCTGTACAAATTTAATTTGGATAGGAGGTTGATCACAGTTTCTCTTTTTCTTTTTTGGAATGCCTTCTTTGTGTCAGTCACTCTGTTATGTAATAATAAACTACACCTAAACTATGTAAATTGCTGTTATTGCTACAAATAATTTGCAAATAAAAATTCTAGCAGTGAGAAAGTAGGATGAATATTAGTTGGGTGATTCTAACTACTTGGATTTTTCTAAATTTAGTGGTACTGAAAAAAGTAATTCCACATGATGTTTTATTTCCTAGTGTGACTGTGAAATACTATGGAAGAGCATCTCATGCTGCCGCTTATCCCTGGGAGGGAGTCAATGCGTTAGATGCTGCTGTTCTCGCCTACAACAATTTGTCTGTGTTAAGACAGCAGATAAAACCAACCTGGAGAGTTCATGGTACGAATGTCAAATATTTTGTGTAACAGATGGTGCTTGCTTAATATATTCCAGTGAAATACAATTACTTACTATTTGATTTTTTTAAAAATTGGAAACTTTTTGTGTACTTAATATGAATATTCCAAAATATGTAAATATTGTCAGAAGTCATGTGACAGGATACTAGGACGTTTGTCTATTTGTGGGTAGGAAGACATAAGATTATTATTAAACAGAAATGAAATGGTCATTTTGAGTATTAGAGGTCAGTAATTTTATAAGTACCTATGTTCTTTCTGTGGTCATTTGAAGTTGGAACTTGATTTTTCAGTTATTCTGTCTTAATGATAACAAAATTTTATTATTTCCTCAATTTAAAAAAAATTATGGTTACTGATTTTATTTACTCAAGTGCTATTAATCCTAAGTAACATCTTTTAAAAGTTTGTGTGTCACCTTAATATAAATACAATAATGAAGTACTGTCTTGAAGGTACAAATTTATATTTTAGTTTATTTCCTTATGATTTGGGAAATTATTATACTTCTTAAAAAAATTTGTCCTTATTGTTGAAAGTATTACAGATATCCCGTTTTTCCCCATTTACTCCTTTACCATGAACCCTCCTTGTCCAGACCTTCCCCACACTATTGTCTGTGTCCCTGGGTTGTGCATATATGCATATAAATTCTTTGGTTAATCTCTCCC